TTAGGATATCTAGTTAAAACCCCTTTTTACAGACATGTCTCAGAAAGCCAAAGTGATTTGCCCAACATTTCTTCCGTTTAATCATTCCACTTATTCTTCTCTGAATAGTTTTCAGTTTAGCCAAATACCTTTTTAAGTGTTGTAACTAGATCAGACATAATATTCTAGTATTACTACTCTTGTCTCTGGGGACATATCTCCCCTTTGACATTTGCATTCACTCAATTTTAATTTATTTCAGTATTTTGTGAACTCTTTTAATCATAGAGCTAACTCATGGCTTTTTAAATAGGAAAATACTTATCACTTATTACCCTTGGCAAGATCTCTGATCGCTATGCCTTTTTTCTTCTTCTTCTTCTTCTTCTTTTTTTTTTTTCTTGGAGACAGGGTCTCACTCCATTGCCCAGGCTGGAGTGCAGTGGCACAATCATAGTTCACTGAAGCCTTGAACTGCTGCTCTGTCCTATCTTAATTCCACAGACAGAAACTCTTAAGTTAAAAAACAGTATACATATTTTAATACATATGTTTACATTTCTTTTTTAAAAATAAATGGGAACATTTTATGCTTTTATAATCAACACAATTCTAATTTTCCTTTTATTGTTTTTCTTGTGCTTTTTCTGGAAGATTCTTCCTTTTGACCAGTTCCTCTCCTCACTTTCACATCCTTCAGCTTTTCTTCCCTGGAATGGATATAGCCCTACCTTTCCCCCCACTACCTCCACTCAGAATTCAAGTATTTTTGTGAATGCATTTGAATAGCAGAATTGCATTACACATTAAAGCGTAGCTTTAGGGAGTCTAGGAAGTATAGCAGGATTTGCATTTCAAGAGGTTGGAAAGGATCCTGTGTGAGCTGGTCCACAGCATCCACAACAAGCCTTTACTGAAACAATGTGTCAATCTTAGATTTAAAGCAGTTTCATAGTCATAAATCCAGAGTTCTGATGTAAGCTCATTAGGGGACTTGTAAAGTCATGAAGAGATCATTTAACCTTTCTCAGCTGCAGTTTTGCTTTGTAAGTTAATATAAGAGTAATTGTTAACTACCTGCCTTAAAACCTGCCCTGGCCCCTGTGTGTGATGGGGACAAACAGTATCCCATTCACAGAGTTAATAATTACAATACTAAACCTGCTTGGTATATAGTAGCTTTGAAGTGACAGTCAGCCTCTGCAGAGCATGCTGATGGCTCTGCTTGTGGGAGTGTGAACAGTCTACCTCACCAGCTCATGGGCATTCCTCTAGGAGAATGCTACTAGGAGAATCTTCCTAAAACACAAATTGAAAGTAGCAATGTTACTCTCCTCCTCAGAATTTTTCTATGCTTCCCAGTTATCCAGAGGATTAAAGCAAAATCTATACTTTGTGTGTGTGTGTATGTGTGTCAGAGTCTCACTCTGTTGCTCAGGCTGGAGGGCAGTGGCATGATCACAGCTCACAGCAGTCTCGACCTCCTGGGCTTAAGCGATCCTTCCACCTCAGCATCCCAAGTAGCTGGGACTACAGGCATGCGCTACCATGCCCACTAATTTTTTTTAATTGTTTGTAGATATGAGATTTTACTGTGTTGCTGAGGCTGGTCTCAAACTCCTGGGCTCAAGCAGTCCTCCCACCTCGGCCTCCCAAAGTGCTGGGGTTACAGGTGTGAGCCACTGTGTCTGGCCAAAGCCTATACTTTTAAAAATGGCATGCAGGTTGGTGTGGTGGCTTAAGCCTGTATCCCTGCACTTTGGGAGCCCACAGGTTCGAGACCAGCCTGGGCAACTTGGCAAGACCTTGTCTCTACAGTAAATCAAAAATTAACCTGGCACGGTGGCACATTTCTGTAGTTTCAGCTACTTGAAAGGCCGAGGTGGAAGAATCGCCTGAACTCAACGGATTGAGGCTGTGGTGGCTGTAAGTGTGCCACTGTACTCCAGCCTGGGCAACAGAGTGAGACTCTGTTTAGAAAAAAAAAAAGGCAAGCAAAGGTTTTCATAATCTAGTTCTATCTACCTTATTTACCTCAAGTCCTTCTTCTCTATTCCTTAAACTATTCCAACTATAGCTATTCGAGTTCTGACCCAAGTGCATCGAACTGCTTAGTGTTAGCCACATACCATGTTGGTTCATGCCTTGTACGTTCACTAGAAACTAGAGTAAATAAGGGCATGGGTTTCTGAATCAAAACACCTTAGGTTTGAATCCCATAGGGTTATTACTTACCAAAGTACTGGGCATAGAGAAGGTGGTCAGTACATGCTAGTTTTGTCATATGTGAGGTAATAAAGAAGGGGAAATTTTCTATCTTTGGGATCAGAGTTGTTTCTGTAAGCCTGATGTAGCTTTGAGTCCATGGGCCATCACTTAACCATCCTGAGCATCAGATTTTTTGTAAAGAGCTATCTCAGGAATGTGGAAGGATTTAAGAGAGTGCATTTAAAGTGTCCATCACATGCCCAGCACATGGTAGACATTCAGTAAAGAGTTGTCCTTGTCATCCCTATCGTTTCTACTAACTATACCTTAACTACTCTCTACTACTGTGAAGTAGGATTGGTTACTAGGGTTTTAGAGTGTCAACCAATCCCTCTAAATTTTTTTACTTGAACATTTTTACTTGATTAGTAGGAAATATATTTTTGTCCGTTGAATTAATTGGCATTCTTTGCTTTGTATTATCACATCTTTGTTTTCCTCTGGCTACCAGGTGAGAGGGTAGGAGGCAGAAAAAAAAAGTGAAAACAGTGAATAAAGGCCAAGCTTGTTCTCTTGTTCTATGGATACTCAAAACTAGATGTAATCTTTTTAGACTGTCTTTCACATTACACTGCTTCATTTCTCCCACCCTCATTAATATTTGATGTCCATTCTCTACCATGTTTAATTCACTTCCTTTCTCTAACCAGATGATTCTGGTCTCGAATATCAACAGGCTCTCTTAACTCTTTAATTTGGTGATAGCATAGTTTGGGGTAATAACTATGACATTTAAGTAAGTGGTACCTATTTGTAGTCCATGTTTGAAAGACAGATGTAGTAGGCAACTAATGAAATATATTTATTGAAGACATTTTCTGCACAATTTACTGCTAATTATTATTACTTATTTGTTGAGTTATACTTGTTGTTTTGGGGGGGGAAATCCTAGATCTGAGGCTTTTTGGACTGTGGGACAATATTCATCTTGAACTCTATTGTGCATGCATTTAAAATTCCTTAGAATGGAAGACTTTAGAAGTATGATATTATCTGATATTAAAGTAAAAAATATATGTATACATGTATACACATATTTCTAGCTCTGATTTTCCTATGGAATTCTGCCATTTATTAAATTATAACTATAGTATATCTAACAATTCCTTAATACAACTTGAAAGAATTAATGTTCTACTTGGAACACTTACTCATCCAAGATGTCTTCCACCATTTGACTAAACATATATAAACTAACCTACATGAGTAATTAGTTTGCTGAAGGTACCCTGAAACAAATTGCCAGAGTCCAGCTCCAGCGGGTCAGGATTTCCTGAAGGAGGGGTGGCGTCGGCGCAGGAGAAAAAACTTGGACACTGACTCTGCTGCAAGCAGGACAATTGCTGATTTATTGTCTTTTCCAACTCCTTTTATATCCTACATGTTTTTTGTTTTCAAGGCAATCAGTTACAATTTAATGGACTGGACAGGCAATGTATCTTTGTTGATCCTGTTTTGATCTTAAAACATTATCATCCTAAACATTAACTATAAATTTTATAAACTCCTAACATTTTTTAATGATTCCCATTTCTTAATGTTCATACAAAACTTACTTATTTCTATAACCATTACATTATAAATCACTACCAAGTTCTAAGCACTATAATTGTCACATAGATTAACAAGTTACACTTGTGACCTTCACACAGCAATTTGCAATTAACAGGGGTAAAGCAACATTCTCAAGGTTTCTTAGCTGCCAGTTGGCCTGACTAGTTTTCCACAATGTTACACCTGGTATTTACAATCTGCTCAATTATCCTCTGTCAGGGAGAAGGAGCTTCAACGTTTGCAAAACAAAAGGCCTCTTGGGCTCAAGTCACCTTAGTCACAATCCCTAACCAGAATTACAAGCCTCCTTAACAAAGGGAAGTAAAGGCAAGGGTGCTCTAATATTTATGTGACTGTTAATTTTTAAAGCATAATACACCACCTGTAGAAATTAAGAAATTAAGTAAATGTAATTTTTGCATTGGCACTTTTCCTAAAAATACAAACTGTAGCTTCTCAAATTTCTCCAATTAGTTGCCAATCAAAAGAAATAAAATCTTACAAGTAATTGTCTACCTGCACATGATATTTAAAATCTCTATTGATAATTTCCTGGCAAGGCCAGTGAGTTCCCTGACAAACATTAAATCAAGCACTTTCTGATTTTTTACAATTTTCCCAACTACAATATTTAATCAAGTGATTGTGTGGTTTAATACCAGGAGGCCAGGGACGTGGAAACCTAGGGTGGAATTCAAATGAAGAGAAGGTAATTTTTCATGAATTCCCCTCTTGCCTTTTTGCAAGGGGTAGTAGAGGCGTGAGTGGAATTTTGCTTTCCATCCTCAGACTGTGCAGAACTTTTCGACTGCACCAATAACAAAAGTAGAGGAAGCAAGGGTCTCAGCTGCCCAGGTTTTCTTTGTGACCCAAGGTCTTCAGCCCCCTGGACTTTGTCAGCAGGCAGGCCTCCATGGCTGGCTCCCAACAACAAATGATTATTCTGAAAAGGGGATTTGATTCTGGATTTGAAGGGCAAGTGGGAAAAGATATGACCAATTCACCATTTATTTCTTATAGAAATGGGAGCTCCAAAGACATCCAGTGATTTACCCAGAGTCCCAAGCTGGCATTCAAACTCAAGACTCCTGACTATTGTATATTAACTTACTGGCTTTAAATAAAAGTTGGCAGCATTTAGAATTACTGAAAATAATTCAGAAATATTATTCTTTTCACTGTTTTGTTTTTTGTCACAGTACGAGGAATGGTGTTGAAATAGTCTTAAATGAAGAACACATTGTACTTAATTTTCTCCTTTTGGGCAAGGGATATTGTTAGCTTTCATAGCTCCTAAGGATGAAAGTGATAACAAGAGCATTATTTCTTCTTTCTTTACTCATTCTTCCCTAGTAATCCATCTCCTTCTAAGAGAATCACATTACTTCATACAACCAGGTGTATGTTTCTTTCCAGTTTCAAAGAAACACAGAGATAAGATATTTATACAAAGGGAATTCTGCTTTAACATACCCTGACACTTACTCATGGCATAAATACATTAGTAAGGGAAGGAGTCAGAAGATTCCCTTACCCCTAGCCAGGGGATTCCCTAACTCCTAAAAATGAAGAGGAAATTATGAAAAACATAAAACTCTGTGAGGTATACATACACATATGTAAATATAAAGTCTTCTTAGAGACAGTGAGTTTCTAGGTTTAAAAAAATGTTTAATTTTCACACATTTATATTGCAGACCTTTTCAGAGGCAATTAGATTTAATGCAGACTACGGAGTTTTTGAAGTAGTTAATGATGCTCCACAACTTCTGGAAAAGCAACTGAGAAAAATTCTACTAAAACAACAACCTCGAAATCCCATCTATGATGTTGTAAGAAGAGGAAAGAATGATGTAAAACCTGTTCAAATGAATGCCCCTTATGAAGATGAGACCATTGATGTCAACTACAATATTATGGTAAGAAAGTATACTTACATTTATATCTTGTTAGATAGGTAAAACATTTGATGAAATTAACATGAGTTTCCTTGGGCTTCCCTTTTTGAACTGTAACTATATTTATTAACTTGTGTTGTTCTTACCCATATTATTATTATTTTTTTATTTTAGCTTGGAAAATATAGTTTATTTAGAAAGTCAATTGGAGAGAGGGAGAGAGAAAGAGAGGAGATTCACCTTCCCAAGGTAGAGGAGGGGGCTAAAGCTAGGAAACATGGCCTGGTCATAGCTCAAAGAGCACGTGCTACACCAGGGTTTACTAAAACAAAGGCTGCATGTTATTTGTTAAACACTATGTCATCTTTTAAAATCCAATGGCCAGCCGGGCTTGGTGGCTCAGCCTGTAATCCCGTGCCTTTGGGAGGCTGAGGTGAGTGGATTGCCTGAGCCCGCAGGTTCAAGACCCGCCTGGGCAGCGAGACCTCATCTCTACAATGAATCAAAAAATCAGCCGGGCGTGGTAGCTCATGCCTGTAATTCTGGCTACTTGGAAGGCTGAGGCGGAAGGATCGCCGGAGCCCAGCAGGTCGAGGCTGCGGTGGCTGGAAGCAGCCACTGTACTCCAGTCTGGGTGACAGAGTGAGACTCCAACTCAAAAAATAAATAAATAAAATAAAATCCAATGACCAATTTAGTCTAGTACAGAGGTCCCCAAACCCTGGGCCACAGATCAGTATGGTCAGTGACCTTTGAAAACCAGACCACACATCAGGAAGTGAGCTTTGGGTGAGGGAGCAAAGCTTCATTTGTATTTACAGCTCTTCCCATCACTCACATTACTGTGGCATTAGACTCTTGTAGGAGCACAAGCGCTATTGTGAACTGCACATGCGAGGGATCTAGGTTGTGCGTTACTTATAAGAATCTAATGCCTGATGATCTGAGGTGGAGCTGAGGCAGTGATGCTAGCACTGGGAAGTGGCTGCAAATACAGATTAACATTAGCAGTGAGGTTTGACTGTACAGAGACCAAAATAAATCAGTTGCTTGCAGACTCATACCAAAACCCTATCAGTAAGTAGCAAGTAAATTGATGTACTTCAATTGTACAGCTGCATCTGGTGTCAGGCTTGAAGTCAGAATCCGACACTTATTTTAGTCCACATGTAGTCTGCCCATTATTTTATTTCCCACTTCCATCCACATCTCTTTCCTGCACTGTGCACTTGTCTCAGTCACACTTTTGGTAAGCCCATAAGCTAACCCTAGCCAAAATGAGTAAGAAAACAAACGTCACTGGAGAGCTCCTTTGAAGTATTAAGGTGAGTTGTATAATTATTGTATTATATATTACAATGTAATAACAATAGAAATAAAGTGCACAATAAATATAATGCACTTGAATCATCCTGAAACTATCCCCCTCCCAAAGTGTATGGAAAAATTGTCCTTCATGAAACCGGTCCCTGAGCTAAGAATGTTAGGGACCACTGGTCTAGCAGTTTTGTTGATGTTCAGTTATGATTCACATATTTACCTTGAATATTTAGAGTACTAGGTTATTTTGGGGCTGCATAACTTCATGTTTCCTTTACTTATAGTATAGATGCATTCTAGAAAATGTGGGTACACAGAACATTTATTTCACTTAGGTTTTTAACAAACAATAATGAACGTTTAACAATACTATTTTCCATTGATTTTAAAATGTCTGGCCGGGCTCAGTGGCTCAGCCTGTAATCCCACACTTTGGGAGGCCGAGGTGAGTGGATTGCCTGAGTCCATGGGTTCGAGACCCGCCTGGGCAACTTGGCGAGACCTCATCTCTACAGTAAATCAAAAAATCAGCCAGGCATGGTAGCCTGGAAGTCTGAGGCAGAAGGATCGCCAGAGCCCAGTGGGTCGAGGCTGTAGTCTGAGCGACAGAGTGAGACTTCAACTCACAAAAAAAATAAAATAAAATAAAATAAAATGTCTGATAGAACTAAGCTAAAATATGTCTAACATTTAAGACATAGCTGTATTCTAGCCTGAATGTTCTTCTATTCTTCTGTTACTGAATTCAAATATATTTCTGTCATTCCCATTAACTTCCATCAAATTCAATGGTGATAATGATAACTATGTTACAGCATAGTTTTGAAGCCAAAAAAAGAAATATGTTCTGAACTATATAGCACTATATGATTGTAAATTTAAACACTTATATTAAGTGTGACAATATTTATTTGTTTATTCACTTCCTTCAGGGAATAGACCTTTTGTGTTTCATGGAGGTCCTGATAACCTATTATTTATTGTTAAACAAAAGCTATATAGTAGCTTCTTGAGTTATGTATTTTCTCAAAAAAATCTACTGAGTGACCTTATTCAATATATTTGAAGGTAGATTGTGATTAATTAAGCAAACTTATTATAAACACTAGGGAAACATTTTTTTTTTTTTTTGAGTTGGAGTCTCACTCTGTCGCCCAGACTGGAGTGCAGTGGCCGCACTGGAGTGCAGAAATTGACCTGCTGGTCTCCAGCAATCCTTCCACCTCAGCCTTCCAAGTAGCTGGAACTACAGGCACGTGCTTCCACGCCCAGCTAATTTTTTGATTTGTTGTAGAGATGAAGTCTCATCAAGTTGCCCAGGCGGGTCTCGAACCCGCGGGCTCAGGCAATCCACTCACCTTGGCCTCCCAAAGTGCTGGGATTACAGGCTGAGCCACCAAGCCCAGCCTTAGGGAAACATTTTAAAAGTTTTTTAAAAAGAGGTGTAAATAATACAACAATAGTGGAGATAAAGAATAAAAAAGTACTCAAACAAAAAGACAGAAAATGAGGGAAAAAGAAACAAAGAATATCTAGAACACATAGAAAACAACTAGGATAATGGTAGTAAATTTTAAACCACATCAGTAATCAGTAGCAAATAATAATATACATCAGTAATTACATGAAATTGATTTATTTTTTATTTTAAAAAAATTTTTTTTAATTGAGAAAGCTGGATTTATTGAGAGGACAGAGAAGCTCCCACAGTGGGAGGGGACCCGAAGGGGTTGCCCTAATTACATGAAATTTAAATGGCCTAAGCACTCCAATTAAAAGCCAGAGTCAAAGAGATACAAAATAAAGACCCAACTATTTGCCATTTACAAGAAACCAAACTTAAATATCAGACATAAATAGGTTAAAAAGTTAAAAGGATAGAAAAAGATATACCACAGAAATACTAATGAAAGGAAACCTGGAGTGGCTGTATTAATATTAGGCAAAGTAGCCTTCAGTACAAGGAATCTTGTACATGATATGACATGACATAATGAAAAAGGGGTCAATTCATCAAGAAAGCTTCACAACCTATACTGTGTATGTAGCTGACAACAGAACTTCAAAGTATATGATGCAAAATATGATAAAACTGAAAGGGGAAATAGACAAATCTATATTTATAGTTGGAGACTTGAGCTCTGCTCTCTTAGTAATCAATAGAAAAGATAGACAGAAGACAAAAGATCAGTAAGGATATCAAATTTCTGAAAAACACTAGCAGCTGAGTTAATCTAGTTGATGTTTATAGGACACTTTATCACACAATAGCAGAGTACACATTCTTTTTCTGTTTACCAAAATGGACCATATTCTGGGCCATAAAGCAGATTTCAACAAACTTATTAAAATATTTGAAATCATGCAAAATGTGTTCTCTGACCATAGCAGAATTAAACTATAAATGAGTAACAGAAAGATATTTGAAAAATTCTCAAATATTTAATCAATTAAACACACGTCTAAAAACCCATAAGTCAAAAAGTAATTCCCAAGGGAAATTAAAAATTATGTTGACTTGAATAAAAATTAAAGCATAACATATTAAAATTTGTGGGGTACAACTACATTTTCCATAGAGGGAAGTTTATGGCATTAAGTGTTTATGATAGAGAAGACTAAATATCTCAAATCTATGATTTACTTTTTACTATAGGAAACTAGAAAAATAAAATTAAATCAAAAGTAAAGAAAAAAAAAGAATCAGTGAAATTGAAAACAGAAAAGCAAGAGAGAAATCAATAAAAATAAAGCCTATTTCTTTAAAAAGCAAACAAACAAACAAACAATGAAATTGACAAGCTTTTAGCAAGACCAAGGAGGAAAAAAAGGAAAGAAGCTATAAATGCCCAATATCAGAAATGAAAGAGGAGATGTCATTACCAATCCTACAGGCATTCAATAAAATGTAAGGGAATATTGCAAACAACTTTATGTCTACAAGCTCAACAAATTTAAATGAGATGGACACATTTCTTTTTTTTTTTTTGAGTTGGAGTCTCACTCTGTCGCCCAGACTGGAGGCAGGCTGCTCCCGGCCACCACAGCCTCGACCTGCTGGGCTCCAGCGATCCTCCGCTTCAGCCTTCCAAGTAGCTGGAACTACAGGTGTGCACTATCATGCCCGGCTACTTTTTTTGATTTATTGTAGAGATGAGGTCTCGCCTGCCCAGGCGGGTCTCGAACCCGTGGGCTCAGGCAATCCACTCACCTCAGCCTCCTAAAGGTGCGGGATTACAGGCTGGCCCACCGAGTCCGGTGACACATTTCTTTAAAGGCACAAATTATTATAGCAACAGTGCTTACTCAGGAGGATATAGAGAATCTGAATAGTCCTATATCTATTAAAGAAATTTAATTAAAAGTTTAAAAACTCTCTACAAAGACAACTTTAGGCCCAAATGTCCTCACTGATGCATTCTATCAAACATTCAGAGGTGAAGTAATCTCAAATTTATGAAAAATTTTCCAAAAAAACAAAAGAAGGATCAATTTCTGTCTCATTTTATGAGGCCAGCATTACCTTGATGCCAACACCAAAATAAGGAATTTCAAGGAAAAGAAAAACCTACAAATAACCCTCATGAACACAAAAATTCTCAACAAAGCAAATTGAATCCAGTGACACCAAAAAATATATGTTTAAGAAGATAACAAGCCGGGCTCAGTGGCTTAGCCTGTAATCCCGTGCCTTTGGGAGG